TAGAGGTCGTTACATTGCAACCCCAGGGTCCGACTTCACCTCGTGCTCAGCGAGCTCTGGCTATTTCGGACAATCCCTTGGAGCGCGATTTGGAGATCCATTTTCGTAACACACAACTGTCGTTGTGCTATCGTCAAGTAGCCTTGCAGGACATGTCAATATGGCTAGAAGTGTCTCCCGACAACCGCTGCTATGTGGCACTCTCGGTTGACGTCCCGGAGGCCCCCAGTTTGCTTCCAGGTTGCCTTCACGTCTCCTTGTTGTGGGCTACAATCCAGGGCCGATTCCGGGTGACACGTATGTTGCAGCGTCTGGACCGAATCCTCCATGCCTTCTGGGTGCATCATGTAGTCTTGCGACCTTATGGCCAAGGGTATCACTGGGCTGTGCAAGAAGCTTCGCCCTTTGCGTGGCTTCTGCACTCTTTGCGACATGAGGCCGCTGGCACGCCAGGCCTTCTTCAAGACACTGGAAGCGATGACACGTTTCATATATCCTGGATTTGAAATGGCCCGACTTTTCCTGGATGAGAGATGGCCCGACTTTTCCTGGCAGCTGAGGCCACTGACAAGAGGCTAGGGTCCGACCTGAACAAAAGGTCCGAGGAGATGCTGCGGTCCATGGACAAAAAGTTCATCGTCACCTTGGGGCTCGATTCAGATTTGCAGGCAACTCTGACAGCCTTTCTTCGATGCTTTGATGTGGTTCGCTCTCTACATGTGCACAGGTCCTTTGCAAAATGATTGATTCCCGCAAGGGCCGCAAGCGTTCTTCTTGTCTCCCCGCCCAAATGCCCCTCCAAGCCCTCGACTTGCTTCAATTCAACTAACCCAACTATATATTAGTGTTAGTCAGTGCCAGTGCTACCTGTCACCAGTTAGCTGCCGGGTATGGAAAATCTGCAACATCTGCAATGGCACCGAGGACATAGAATCAAGTCGCCTGGCAAGCGAGTCTATCCACTTCATCAGAAACAATCATGGCATATGACCAATGGACTCGACTGCTTCAACGACTCTGCGATACTGCTCGTAACACGGCTTGTCATGAATCGAACTGAGCAATGCAAATGCAAAGGTGGAGCGGAGCACCTGGATGGCAGCCACCACGAGCCTCGGCAAAATGTGACTGTGCTGGTAGCAGTTATTTAGAATTTAGAAATCAGACGAATTAGACTAGCAATTCCTCCGAGATTCTGACATTTCCACACAGGGCCTTGGTGCCCTCGATTTGGAAACCAGCATGGAATGTCCTGATTTGTGTCCATGGCTGCTTCTCCATGCTGTCCTGAAGGAATCCGCAAGGCTGGAGGAGGAAGATGGGAATGATGCGACAGGAAACCTCGAGGACCAGATGGGGCAGGGCTCTAAGTATCTTCGTACTTGCTATCACAGAATCAGGCGCCCATGTCAGCTGACTCTGCAGTGCGTCAGGATCATGCAACACACAATGCAGACGAAGAGGAGGCACCTTCTGTTTGCCACCGCAAGGTGCCAACAACATAGACCCATTGGTTACATGCAGCATGTAGCTGACAGGAGCCATGTGGCATGTGACTGGGACTGCTGTACATTCTGGCTTCCAGCATAGTCAGACATAGACCAAGAAGTCACACAGCACTCCGGGACCGACAAGCACAAACCCGTGCAAACAAGAAACTTGCAGAATCATTCGGGGTTCAAGTTCGAGGCATCTAGTACTGAAGCCCCTGTCCTGCCACTCTGCATCCGAAGCCTGACACCACAAAATTATTTTCATCAGCTGGAGATGTTTTGAAACGAGCTTGCCTCCCTGAAGACTTTCCAGGTCATCATCCAGGGGCCGGCATTGCCGAAGTCGTGATTGACTGAGCAGGTGCAGCAAACATGGTGTTTTGCAACTGGTCCTGCGGGCACACGCGGGTCCGATGCAAAGTGCATGGTAGGCCTGCTCAGCCCTCCAGATGGCCCGATTTCGCTGGGAGACAGATTCAGAGAAGGTCTTGTTGTCCGAGCTGAGCCCTTAGTTCTAGACCTTTCCTAATAGCAGCAGTGTTGTGTATGCTCCAGGACTAGAGGGCCCGCAGGTGATAGCATATTGAACACGAGCAGACCATGAGAGCGTGACCTGCAGAATGCAAGCTAGGCCTTCTCTGGATTGCTGGAATTGGCATGTTCGCAAAGACACTCTGGTTGTCTGACGGGATCCCAGATTGTAGATCAATAATATGGTAGTAATATATTTTTATTGGTTTCTATGCTCCGGGATTCTAGAAAGTCTAGAATCTAGAAACTCTAGACTCTAGAGTGTCCAGAGCCCAGTGTTGATGGCATGAGCATTCTGTGTTGGCCCGAAATCAGACACAGAGACCAACATCTTCTCCAGCAACCACCGGCCGTGCTTTGGATCTTGCTCCGATGCAGAGACGCACAAGCAGAATATCGATTCCTGACGAAACGTTGCCAGGGTTTCTATTCGATGTTCTTGTGATTCAGATTGGAAGCATCTGGCAATCTTGTCATTTGTGCATGTGCAGCTTGACTTGCCAGTGGGGATACACAAGGCAGGGCTTGGCTTGCAGACACTGGTTCCGTGCCGAAGAGCACTGGTGCATAGCCTCCTCCGTGCTTAGCGATGGCACACATGCCCACGAGCCGCACCTGCTGCCCGACATGGCTGAAGAAAATCCTGGGCCCGAAGATGGAGGAAGTTCCACTATTGAACTATTGTAGCAGTGACGAAAAGCTATATCTGAACTGCAACATCCTCTTTGTCGTCATATTTGTATCTGTCTTGCAGGCCAGTGTCTGACTTACTCTCCATAAAAGCTTTAGACTCGACAGAGCAAACATGGAAGAACTTGAGGGTAAGACACCGGGGTGAAAGGTGCCTGCCATTCTACAGCCAGGCAGAGCTTGACATTTCAAAAGCTCGTTCAGCTATAAGTCTGTCCGTGTGGTTCAGGCATTGACCTCTTAACTTGATGTTGTATTCATGAACTTGACATGCTCCCTGACTTTTCTGCGAAGCAGGACACGGAGAGAGATGTGGACTTCCTATGTGCCTTCGGAGGCACCGGCAGAATGGCAGCAAAGATTGCTGAAACGTCGGAGGACTGGCATGTATCCTGTGATCCTGGGTTTCGGAGCTGAACTCCTTTCTTCTTGTTGCATGCACCAATTTCGAGGGTCATCGGTCCGAGACGTTTGACATCGCCATGAACAGCGAGCACGATGTGCTCAGCTGGAGCGGCTTCATGATCCTGGCCCGACTGTGCCTGCGCATGAAGCCAGGACAGGCAGGGTGACTTGCAGCAGCCAGGGGCCGAAGAATGGTTGAGAGAGCAAAAGAGCAAGAAACACAAGAACAGAGGCAGAGAAACCAAGAAAGAGAGAGAGAGAGAGAGAGAGAGACAAAGATAAAGAGAGACAACACGGCAAGAGGAAGGCCGAGAAGAGACTAGTAGTACAGAAGAGATAGGACATGATAGGAAACACTGGGGTTTCTCATACAAAGGCACCACCGTAGGCAGAGCAAAAACTACAAGAGAGAGATTCACAGACATACATAGACACAGAGAGAGAGAGAGAGAGAGGGAGCAAACATTCAGCAGAAACTGCAAGAAGGAAAGAGAGAGGGAGAGATGCCACAGAGAGATGCCACAGAGAGACAGAGATACAGAGAGAGAGAGAGAGAGAGAGAGAGAGAGAGAGAGAGAGAGAGAGACACGAGGAGACTGAAGAAGGGAGAAAGAGAAAGAGAGAGACGGACAGTGACAGAAACAGAGAGACAGACCAGCAGAGATGGACAGGGAGAGGGGTGACAGAAAGCGGGCATGTGAAGCAGACCTGAATTGTAATTGTAATTGTTTGAGCAATTGTAGCATCTATACAGCATCACACCGACGGACACCTAGAGACAGACAGGGACACAGACACAAGACTATGTGAGAGATAAGACAAAAGAGTAAGGGAGACAGAGAGAGACACACACGCACACACAGAGACCTGGATTTTGCGAGGAGGCGTCGTCTGGTGGAGTCCGGCATGCAACCTCTGGTTGAACTATCTCTCTGCCAGTGTGCACAGCCGCAGTGCAGATCATCCGGAAGGAGACATGAAAAATTATGGAGTTCGTGGCTAGTTGGCACTGGAGGGAGGTCTTTGGCTCGGGCAGGTCATTACATGCTGTGTTAAGGTGCTGCTAACTCCTGTGCGGTCCTGGTCGCCGCACTGGTCCGAATGCTTGGGGCCCGAGGAGCAACTGGGCTATGAGAAGATCTTGAGGTTTGGCTTTGGCTTAGTGGCTTAGTGACTTAGTGGCTTAGTGTATCTGCAACATGCCCTGCCGGCACTGCCCCACCCCTCCCCGCTTGCACATCCCCGCCCCACCCGGCTCGAGACCCTGCTTGCTAGCAGTCAGAGCACTTTTCTTTGACATGGCAACACATGCTTCCGTCCTTCAAGCATTAGAACAACAAACTGAGATGTAGATATTTAAATTTAAATGAAAATTACATATCAGAATTTGTATTTAAATCCTGACATGGCAGTCAATTCATCGTCCTGCATGCAAGGTGCAACAGGTGGTGGAGAACCCGCACAACTCCTGGCTCTTCAAATTTCCAGTGCTGGAAGAAGCAGCACAGTTTTCACAAAGCATGGATCATTGCTGAGCACTCACGTGCAGTCTACTCCCGCAGTGGAGTATTAAGAAAAAATAAAACCATGTGGCAGGAAGGTGTGTTTTGGAAGAACAGCCAAGGCACTGGCCCAAATCTCCGCGCAGAAATGGACGACTCAACTGCGTTGCTATGGCATGGCCATTGACAAAAAAATCACCTTGATGGGGACGATTTCTTTTGGGCAAGCCTTATACAGGCAGCTCCCTGTGAAAAGAGGGTCCGACGAGAAGGGAGGCTGAGCTGCAAAGAGCTTCTGCAAGTAGAACATGCATGATAGGATCTCTGAAAAAACGGCATGCTCTGACTTTGCATTCAAGAACCCGATTCGTTAACAAAGGTGATGACGCCAGTGAGTATTACTCACGCAGCGCAGATGGCCGAGTGTGGGGCAAGAAAAAGCTGCAGGAGACAGCGGAGTACCCAGACAAGTTCCTCATTGAGGATGCTTGGTTTGCACTTGCCATTACAAATGTGCCGTTGCATCGTCCATTGCAGAAACTGCAGCAGGGCTCCTGCATGACACAGCTAAGGTGGCCCGAGTGTTCTCGGCGTCTGCATCACTGCGTGCGGACTGGGCAACCGCTTTGCTGAAGCTTCCGGAAGCAGAGCCCGAGCAAGCATATCCGCATGGTAGCATGGTCTTCTTCGAAAAGTGAAGAAGGGGCCCCATGTTGTGCGATGTCGGCCCGATTTTGTGATAAAGTCTGGAGGCCCGAGGTTCAAGGTATCTGGCTCGAACACAATGTCTTTAACATCCAGAAGACGTTTTTGACTGGGGGCCCGATTTTGTGCAATGTCGGCCCGATGCAGTCATTGTGTCTGCAGGCCCGATGGTCGAATTATCTGTTGCCACAGAGCTGGCTCGAACACACTCTCGCCGCAGACGAAAATAAATCAGCATTGTGCAAGGCCTTCAGCCATGCATCCAGCGTAAGGAAGCATGCAGAGCTGACATGATGGCTATAGTCCGAGTAACATGTCTCCGGAAAGACTCTTGCAGTGGCATTCATTGCTTCTGATATACCTGCCATCAGGCCTGAAGCTGCAAGTGTGTTGGAGAAGGACTGCTGCTGGCATCCAAGTTTCCCAAACTACTAGTACTATTGAATACTATACTGAAAGGAAATTGTGCTCAATAGTATATGTAGCTGCGGTTACGTAGGCTGCTAATGTAAGTTAGCTGTTGTTGTACAGTGATAGGCATAGGAACACAGCAGTGTCAACTACACGGAATACGACCGGTTTTCACAACTGCTCATGCTACTACCTTTACTAGTACTTACTTAGTACTTACTAAATCAAACCTGCTGCTACTCATACTACTTTTGCGACTACCACTGCAATTCTACTCCTAGTGCAGGTAGGACTTAGTGCTGGGAATAGCAGTGCTACTCTACTACTACAGCTACTGATACTTGTGGCGCTAGTACTACCAGGGCCAGAAGTAATTCTCCTACTGCTGCTAGTGCTAATGCTGGTATGAGTAAATACGGAATGATGATCCCTGGTGGTGCTAACTAGTGGTCCTGGTAATTCAACTAGTGCTTCTTGTAAAAAGCTACAACTGTTCCGCCTCTACTGCTGCTTCTAATTGGTGCTAGGTGCTTGGTACTGCTTACTGCAAGCGACATAAGCATAATACTACTGCAGATCCTACTGTTGCGACCCTCTTCAAAAACAGGCGTCCTGCTCATAGGCATCCCTACAACTGCAAGGTCTCCATACACAGTCTCCTCCCGGTACATAACGCAACTAATAATAAGTCTGGCGGAAACAGATCACTCACTGATATTTCTACCTGCTTGCCTAGGACCCAGACTTTCGGACAGCTTTGATATCCCCGGCATCTGTAACTCCAGAGGACCGGGTCTTAGTCTGCCACCGGCACTATGGCTGGGACAGACAATGGGATGGCCAGACCCGCAGAGCCGGAGCAGGGACATCCATCTGTTTCAGGGGTCTCGGATTGATTGATTGTGATTCAGTGATTGGGACTCATTGGGTCAGGACCCTGTCAGAGGGTACAAAGGGATGTGTTCATGTGGCACAACGACTTATAAGTGAATCTATTGAGGCCTCCTGCTGGAATCCCAACAAACAGAGAGAGCAAGCAAGCCCCGGCAGAAATCCAGCTTTCACAAAGGACTGAGACTAAGACTATCTCTTGTAAGTTAAATGAGGCCTCTAATTTGGACCAGTCTTCAGTTTCAGGACCCTAAACCCTGAACCCTAGGGCCCTAGACGTCGAGTGTGAGCACAGTCGCGGCGGACAAATCCCAGACACATTCCCGAACTTGATCGACGACCTGTCCGACAGAGGACTGCGCAAAACCCATGGCCAGAAGCGAAGAAAAGCCTTCAAATGCTTCATGGCACTTCGTGGTACAATGTGCACCTCATCGCCAAGCATGGCTTCGATGAGCACCTTGCATGGGTCCGGAGTCTTCCGGTATTCCGGCAACAGCTCAGTCACGGCTGCTGATCATGAGCCGCGTGGCACTCGGCGAACCTTACTATGCTCATGAAGCCAGAAGTTCACACTGGTGACATGGGTCACAGTGAGAAACGACCGGCTCTGAGCCATCGGGAAAGCAGCTTCTGGCACTACGGCGGCTTCGACCTGGACAAGCTCTGGTCTTTCTCTTTCCCTCATACTTGCTTCCGTTGCTTCATATGCCTTGCTGCAGAACCACTGCTCCCGACTAGTTCTGCCGTTTTCGGTTGCCTTCGCACCTTCGCCATTCCATTTTCTTCCGGCCCAGGTCGGCAGTGCAGCTGCCAGACACTGAGCTGGTCGGTGGTCGGTTTAGTTAGTTCCCTAACCCGCCGTGGAATCTAAGTCAGTGGGTTTCCCTAAGGCCCCTAGGCTGCTGCTGTTACTCTTTGCCTGCTTGTCACTCGTCATCCAAGTCCCATCTCGACTCCGATCGTCAATCCCTCATCATTGAAGCCAAGCCCTCGAGACCCCCAGCCAAAACATAGCCGGGATCTCAGACCAGACTCACTGCATGAATGAAACTCCTTACTGAGTAATCGGCACTCTCCCCCAGCTCGGTTGAAATAATTCATATCATTACAAAACAACTACCTTCGCCCCAAGTCTCCTGTATGACTCGAAGTTAAAATTCAGAAGTAAGTCACTGTAAAAGCCTTAAACTCCATTATGTCTCATGATAACAGAGATTTCAAGCCCGAATTCTATCGCTAGTTCCATCTGAAGTAGGGAAGTAATTACTGATGTTGGACATTTAGATACTGAGACGGCTACTACCGACTGCAGCCCATTTTCAGCATTGATAGATAGCTTACTTCCTTGTGGAGTCTTCATTATCAGCTATCAAGCATTCTTTGTCCCTCCCAAACCCCACCCATAAATTAAGAACGTGACTAAGAATTCCCTTTCCAAAAACACAAGCACATCCAAAATGCCTCCACTGCCTAAACTTGCTCTAGTCAACCCTGAGAAAACTAAACCAGGATTCTCAAGTCTGATGTTGACAAGAATGTTGGTATTTCTTAAACCTGTAACCTGATCCTGAACCCTGATCTGTTCAGTTCCCGACCGACCCTGAAGCCTGAAGTGACCGCCGTCACATGCAAGCCTGAGCCTTGAACTGACTTGTTAATTTTACATTCTAATAAGATAACCTGACAACTGGGGGTGGTCAGTGGATTTGGCCTTTTGCTCCATCGCTGGTCTGGGCATTCGGTCTGGCTGCCCAGGTCCGGCGGTGCTGCTAGCTTGACGTAGGCGACGTGGCCCGACAATAATAACTATAATGTGTCGTTTACGATGAATTCAAAATGAACTGGAATCAGAGTCAAATATACCCGTCACTCTGTAGTAAGGTTTGCAGCTTTAAATTACTTATATTGCATCTGACACCAAGCTTGACACCTCTGCCTAAGATTGCCGCAGGAAATCCCCTCAACAGCAGGGTACTGGTCTTCAAAGACATGGCCATTATTTAACGAACTCTCGGCTTACTTCAATAATTTAATTTGAGATCACATTTGCTCACGGCTTCTAGCAACGAGGTGAGTTCCTGGTGTTACTTCCTCCTCTATAGGGCCTCTAGGGTTGCTGTGCTGCAACTGCAGTTGCGCCCGTCAGTGATGCAATCCATGATGTATAATTTGAAAAGGTTTCGAAGTTCAATTTGAAAACTTGCCGGGCAGGCCCGAAGCGCCTCCCGAAGTCCGTCACGGGGCTCCAGGTGGGTGGGTGCCAGAAGACGCCTAGGCTTGCGATGCTTTGGGGGAAATGTCGTTGAAGATGAGGTCTAAGTGTGATATGAGGGATGCCTGTGTTCAGCACATCTTCTTTACACCGTTGTGGGTGCAACCCTTCGTGGTCTGCATTTAAAGTTAAGCTTTGGGAAAGCACTAGCACATCATGCATTTGTTGGCGGACGAGCATGTGTACTGGGCCAGGCGGCTGATGTCGCTTGTCCTTTGCCTGGTGCCGGCTAGGGCCTCAGTCAGTGCTGGCTAAGTCTGTCGTAAAGCGGATGACTAATGTGTTGGGTTCGGACGAGTGTGTGACATGCGTGTGCTGTGGGTGGAGAATCTGAATCTGCTCATGAAGATGCAAGATCATGTGTGCATGCTCTAGTCTAGATTGCTGTTGAGTTGTGGCCCGAAAAAAGCTTATATAAGCCATTTTGATTTGTCGTTGGCACTCGCGACCTGCAACCATGGCCAACAACAAACAGCTGACTGTATGTACTTCACTTATGTTTTGGAATCAGCTTTTTGGTGGGGCCCCCACCGCAGCAGCTTGTCATCGAGTGAATTGGCAGCAAAGCATTACAGCACAGTACAGCATAGTACTTTGCATTTTCACCCGACCTGGCCATTATGCCTTCACTGCCACAGTTCCGGCATCTGCTTTCGGACCGACGCCGCCAAGTTCGTCTGACCCGATCCCTTGAGGATAGCGGAGCAAGTACTTTGTGGCAGCGCGAATGGGGCCGAATATTCATGTATCGGCCGTTCATCTTGCGGTTCATCGCAGGCTCTGTCCAGATGCAACTCCAGGACGATGGCACGTGGTACATCGCCGTGTGGCCCGAAATATCGTTCACAGGCCCCGTGCATGCACCGCACATTTCTTTGGGACGCTTCGAGCTCAGCGGGTCCGATGTGCCGGTTGCTTGGCAACAGATTGCTTTCATCGAGTCCCTGGGCTGGTCCGAAGTTTTCTACGAACCGTATGGACGGGGACTGCATTGGCTCATCACCCCAGGGTGTGAGCTCTATTTTGCATGTCGTCTTGCTCAACAACGACTTCGTCGGGTTGCAAGACGTGCTGTCCTCGTAGAGGACCTACATATCACTTGGCAGCGTGTACAGTCCTGGTCAGGCTGGTAGGCCCGAATCGGCAGTGTGGCTGGTAGGCCCGAATCGGCAGTGTGGCTGGTAGGCCCGAATCGGCAGTGTGGCCATTGCACTGATGAACTGGAAACGTCCGGAGTTTCAAGGGCAGCAGGGGTCTCCGAGAGTCTCTTCCAAGTCGCGACGTGGACCCAAGACCCACAACCCCGCCTGAAATGGGCCTGGCACTGTGACATTGAAGGGTTTGACTCCCGGCCACGGCCCCCGATTGCAGCCCGAATGCCGCAGCTGTAGTGACTGTGTGAAAAGTAGGTGCGGG